TTGCTTCGTGTCCTTGTCCGCCTGCCTTTGCTGAAGCGGATGTCCTGGTGGGTCAGAATTGGAGGGCGCTGCTGCCTCATGTTAGGATCACCAGATGGCCTCTCTTCCTGGGCATGGCGTGCCAGATACATCCTTGAAAAATGAACTTTCAAAGCACTGCGGCGACCTACAAGCTCCGCTGTCAGACGTACGAGCGAGAAGAGAGTCTTGTCTTTATCTGGACAGGAAAAGCTGCGAGGCAGCGCTTAATAGAAGTGCAGCTGCTTCCTCGAACCTCTTTGACTCCTGTGAAATGGTGAAAGAAAACATTGCTGAATAATTTACTCGGCATCGGCGGTGGGTGGGTGCGACACGGGGAGCAGGACTCTGGATTTCACTTTCGTTGCAGCGCTGGGTTTAGCAGAACCCTGCTGGGTGCCTCGCTGCCGAAATTACTGTTTAATTTCTTTCATTAAAAAAGTTTCCTCTCGAAGGACATCACTGGTCTGAGCTCCTCCGTCAGTCAGTGTGCTTTGTCTCTTTTTCACATTTAATAACCTGCCCATGTAGATGAAGTTTGCCTCTGCGTGACCCGGAGCTCACACAGGCTGATTGTCCTCCTCTGGATTCAGTCATCTTCTCCGTAAACACACAGGCACATCCAGCAGTTATTCTCAAGATGTTTCACGCTGGACTCTGGCAGTCTAACATCATCTGCTTTGCAGGGAGTGTTTGTTTCCCTCAGATAGGTATCAGGGAGCCACATCAAAGCCTGTGTGCTCGTAGCTGGATGATCAGCAGATTACACGCTCACTACGAGGCCTGTTGAACCTACGGACAGCAGTCCAGCTTCTGAGACACCATCATAGTTGTTGAGTCATGTTGTCGTCTGACTTGGAGAGTAGAACTTATCTTAAAGGGTGCTGAGTGGAATCAGTACAGATGTTACTCTGGTTCAGTGGACGCTGACCGCTACTAGACTGAACAGTGATATCACACTGGAGGAAATACTGGAATCATGGCTCCGCATTAAAAAATAAACATCCATCCCCGGGACTTTCTCCAGGTCTGCTGTGCAGCTGCAGGGACTAATGGGCAGCGTATCCAGCAGGCCTCTCTCAGAGCTCCGTTGTAATTAAACCCAGCAGTGAACACTGGTAACTATTCGTCTGCTGAATAATGGATAAACTCGACAGCTTTTTCACTGGGAGCGATTCTCTCGCATGCATGGCTCCTGTCTTCATGATGACAGCTGGGCCTCTCGGCTCCATGGGGGCCACCCGGGACCGAGCTGCCAGATCCGTAGGGAGAGGAAGCCCAAACCCACTCAGAAAGTCTCACTAATGACTGCACGTCGCAGTGCGTTACCTGTTGTAGGGACGTGCACGGACAAAGTTCACTGCATACATTTAAAGTCATAACACTTTGTACAGTTTCCTATTTTAGCTGAAGCTTTGCCCTCTGAGCCCCAAACAGTTTCTGGGAGTTTATTTGCTCCGCTGACGTTTTTGATCGCTGTCGGCTCGTTTTTCACTTCAGTCTAAACTCCTGCACCTCTGTGGAAACTTGACAACCAGGATTAGAGGCGGAAAGAAGTCAATGCAATGCCAGAGTTTATGTCACATCACTGTTGGTCACCGATGAGTCAGCGGTGAAGTTCTCGTCTTTTACAGAATCTGGTACTGTGAACTCTTTATTTTTATTTCTTGCTCTGATGAATGCTGTAGTTTTGGTGTTTGTTTTACAGACTAGCTGCCTTTCAAACCTGTCGGTGAGTTTTTGGATTCAGAGGGTCAGAAGATGAGCTTCGTGGTTTCAGGATCTTCGGTTTCCTTTTGCGTGCTGCCATCAGCTCCGACCTGCGGCGTGTTTCGGCTCCGTGATGAGAGGATAACTCAGTAACTACATCCACATTGTGTGTCGGCGCTGTAATCCATCACAGCAACACAGCTTTGAAGTTGCTTTTTGGATCATGTTGTTTTTTTTGAAGGCAAAATGAGTCACACATCAATAACGTCTGTCGTCTCTGCTGTTGTTACCGTTCCACCAGGAATCCACCTTCGCCTTTCATTATCACTGAGGTCACCTAATAACTGAGATAAAGGGTCGCTGCTTCTCACTGGGGTCCTCCGGTCCATTCATAATAATTAGGAGGAATCCCAGCTGAGCCCCATTCACCTAAAAGCAGTTGAGCTGAGGTGGTCACAGAAGTTCACTCTGGCCCGGAGTGTCTCCGTCACATGCAGAGGAGCGCTGCTTCTTCCTGAGAGCTGGTTCTGGTGCTTCTACATCAGCCGGGCCTCTTTCCTCTGCAGCTTTTCCACGTCGGTGATTCACGGTCACACTCGACGGTCTCAGACTCTTCCTCCTCGTCTCTCTCCTTTTATTTTTGTCTTTCTCTCTTGAGCTGCAGATATCCTGATCCCACATATGTCTGTGTTCTTATAATTTCTTCACTTTGATGACAGTTTGAACAGTTTTAATGACGCCATCCTTCAGCATTATTCATGACAGGAGGTGATATTTATTTAAATGTAACTTTAAATGTTTATTTTCTGTGTAGGTGCAGGGCAATGTGTCTGTCTCTTGATATAATAATAATATATGACGATATAATAATTCTCACTTTGTTTTTGAAATATGACTAGTTTCCTGGAACATTATGGTTGTTTTTCTGTTCATATCTGTTTATTCAAAGTTACCTGAACAACCAATCAGGTGTCTTTAACGTCCATGTATCTGTTCAAAATGCGTCTGCCGTCCCGTTTGTGTGTCATCATATGATGGACACCGTCACAGCCGGCAGCACTCGGGCCGGTGGAACTTTTTTGCGGTAAGTGTCGGGGCACGGTCGGCCACGTCCTGGTGTTTATACGCTGTGGGAGAGGCTCCGTTGGCGGGGATGAGGCGGTTATGGACCCTCAAAGCCTGAGACTGATTGTAGCGTCTCCAGCCGACACCGTTCACCTCTGGTCCCTCTGAGCGCGTGCAAACTGATTGCTTTTGGCAGCGAGGCACGTTTAGGAGCCGGTGGGTTTTTTTTAGGAAAGCACCTGAATTTTTCAGAGCGTCGTGGGATGGATGGAGTGGTTTTTAGGGAGTGTGATGAAGCGGGCTGCTGTGTGTGCTGGGATGGTAACAGCGTTAGAGTGGAGAGATGACATCAGGCTTTTAGGTCTTTCTTCAACTGTCTCGACTTCCCTCCGTTCCACAGATCAAGAAGACGTCCGAGGCCACCCTGACCACCATCCAGGACATGGTGACGATCGAAGACTACGACGTGTCCGAGTGCTTCCACCACAGCCGGTCCACGGAGTCGGTTAAGTCGACCGTGTCGGAGACGTACCTCAGCAAACCCAGCATTGCCAAGAGGAGGGCCAACCAGCAAGAGACGGAGCAGTTCTACTTCATGGTGAGGGCAGAGAAAGCAGGATCTCAAGTGAAGTCCCCTTTGTTGTATAAGATAGATTATCTATCTTATTTAGAAGCAACAGAAACGGAGCCAAAGTTCTTTCAGTTGAAGATAAAAGAGTGACATGACAAATGTATTGATTTACATCTCAAGGTAAAGCTCCTGCAGTATTAAAGAGAGAAACCCGATGACTCCCTCAGACCTGAGGAGGTAGACCTTCTTCCAGGCTGAGGGAGGGCAGCCGTCTGCCTCCACCTGTTAGGGTGAGGAAATAAAGCGTAGAGAGAAGAGGTGTGTTTGATCTAAACAGAAATGAGACTGACTCTCTTTAAAGCCTAAACGGTGTTCTGCTCTTAGATTTTTTTCAAAAGAAGTGAAAACATCCACCTATTAACTCAAAAACCTCTCAAATGACTCAGAGAACATGAAGTCGAAGCTTTTATCTGCAGCTGAACGTTCTTAATTTGTGCATGTGAATCCTAATTGACTTTGAAGACTGTATCTCATGTGAAGTCTGTGATCAGCTGGCAGACGCTCCCAACATATTTCCATTTTGTAAAGCTAGCTGCTATCTTGTTCCAGTCTGAAGACGGACATGCTCTGATAAAGGCTTTAAAAAGGCTCCCGGCGTGTCCTTTGCCCTTGGCTGCCTTATCATAGATTGCTGTCTTCAGAGCGGGTCTCTGGCCGGCACTCGGGCCCGCCGTGTAATTACTCTCAATTCTCCACAGAAATTCCGTGAGTTTCTGGAGGGCAGTAATCTCATCTCCAAGCTGCAGGCCAAACACGACTTGCTGAAGAGGACGCTGGGTGAAGGTACAGTCACAGTCCTCCTCACCTTCCCACTGCTCTTCCTCTCACTCCAACCAAAGTCAAAGCTAAACAACGTCCAACCTGACACATGATTGTTAAATTCTGTTTTATTTCCCGCGGTCTTACTCGACGGATCTCAGCCTCCTCTGTGGCAGAGTTCCCATTGTTTGCTTGCTTTTTTCACAAGTCAAAGCTCCTAGATGGTAATCTGGGTTTTATCCAGGCAAGCTCGAGCTGAGGGGGGATTGTGGACTCGTATTATCCGTCTTAGTGATTGATTTGCTGGTAACTTAATGGACTGCCATGTATTAGAGGGGTGGCGCTCATTACTCCCCTTGTTCTCCATTGGTGGGATCTCCTGAAGGCATTGGCAAGTATCTGTCAGTCACTGTGCTACCAGCAGTCCTGGTGGTCTCCGTCAAGCTGTCCGCTAATGAGTCCATGAGCCAACAGAAGAGAAAAGCCTCCTGCTTCTCCCACATGCTCCTTAATCACGTTGTTGTCAATGAGCTGCAGTACAGCGTGAGTCACTCAGTCAGGTCATATCCTGTTCATGGCAGCAGATGGCCACACATTTGTAACTTCTCCTGCTCTCCAAAACCATTTGGAAGCTATTTTGTTCTTCATCTTACTCGTCCAAACCTGTAGCTGTGTTCCTGTAATGATGAGTGAGTCTGGTCGCCTACGTGATGGCGTCCTGCTGGATGTTTGTGCTGTAGCTGTAATGAGGCTGAAGCGTCGTCTCTGTGCGAGCTATGAGCCGGTGTGTGTTCGTGTGTTTGGGTTGTGTTGGTGCTGCTCTAGAGGCCAGCGGTTGTGGACAGATGGCAGGCTTCAAACGCTCCACTAGCCGTGTGCACAATTCACCGCAGGGACCTCAGACGCAGGTCCCGGCATGTCCACACAACTAACTTCACCCTGTTTTCTCTCCCGTCTGCAGGCCACAGAGCTGACTACATGACCACAAGGTAAAGTACACACTGACACACACACACACACACACACACACACCTGTGCATATCCGAGACACAAACCCAGCCGACCTTCTTTTCAACCGGCGACACAAACTTCTGTGTTGCGTCTCATCAAAGCGAGGACAGTTCACCTCGTTCTCACATGAACTCCTGAAAGCAGAGGAAATATTTAGTATATTTTCATCTTTGAAAACACGTCATCAGCTGAGGAATTAACACGTCAGGTTGGAACCCATTACTAAAGTTAATTAGCTTGAATTTTCTAATATTTTTAATCACAAATTGTAATAGTTTTTATAAAAGCAGCATGCTTTACTGAGATCGATGCAGCCAAATCCTCTAACAGCTATAGTCCTTATGCAGTGATTGGTCATCCAGCAAAGAACAGAACATTCATTGTCTTTGCGTGCTAGTTTTTTATTTCTTTTGATGAAAACAATATTTTTTACCCTTATAAATAACGGGGGGTAATGCCACGCTCTCAGTGCATCTCTTTAAACGCTACAATTTGAAATAAAAAACGCTGCCTCCCTTCAAGGATCCTTCCAAATCCACTTCTGCAAAACACAAGTCTGTGGGAGGATTCATCTACAAACAGGGTGTTGGTGGGGAGAGGAGTACGAGGCATTACCTCATGTCTAAAATCACACAAATAGGCTGCATCACCACGTCTGTTAAAAGCCAATACAGACGGACGTAAGATAAATACCGTCAAACAGCACTTACCCACAGTTAGGCTACGATGCAGACAGGCGACGAAGATGCACACAGATATGTCTGAACACGCTCTTATGAAGCTGGAGGAGGATGGAGAGGAGAACACAGCGACGGGGATGTCACCCACTGGTTTGAGGAGTCCTGTTCTCAAGCCTCCAGTCTGGAAGTTTGTCCAAATGTGAGGTGTGAGGGGTGTGACTGATGGGAAGACAGCAGCCATAAAACAAAACCCTGCTTTATCATCTGTTTTACTCTAAATGAGACAATATTTTACCAGATGAACATCAGGCTGTGTTGAAAAATCCATGAAACCAGCAGCTGAAACCACAAACTCATGAGTAAAATGTTTGCTGAGGTAACAGGTCGAGGAAGCAGTAGGGTCATTTTCTCATCGACTTATATGCAACCAAGCTTCTAGTTAGTCGCCCCCTGCTGGTCAATCTAAAGAATGCAGGTTTTATGAGCTTCTAGATGAGCTTTATTTTTCAGACCCGTCCATCGTTTATATACAATTTATGTGAAAGATGCACTAACAGACATCCTGCATGTGTAGCAGTGCAGGATGGTGTTGGTTGTCCTGTAAAATATTCTGCGGTTAGATTTAGCGACGCGTCGCCCAGTCGTGTGGAAGACTCGTCTCATGTGAACCAAATGCAATGACATGTTGTTTTCTTTTATTATCAGAGCACTTAGTTTGTCTGTTAGTGTTGGGATGTGAAGAGACTTTCAAGAAACAGAACAAAAACGCCCCCAGAATACATTTCATACTTTAACATTATATAGATTAAAAAAAACTGTCAAGATGATTATAATCAACACAAACAGTTGTTGGCTGCAGCCCCGTTAGTGGAGATTCACACCAGTCACATTAAATGTCTTTCTATTGGTAGTTATTTGCTAAATCCTGGCTGCAGTCTGCATAATGACACAGATTTATTCAAACTGCAAAGACACCTTTTTTATTATTTTTGTTGTGATGGTATTTAAAACATCTTCAGGCCTTTTCCAGTTAAAATGTTTTGTCACTATGATTGAGCAGCAGAGGCAGCCAAAGTCCCAGACTCTTTTTATCTCAGTCCTACAGGTCACCAGAAGCCAAACTGCATTAAGTCACACACGCCGACACACACATTCACACGAGCTAATAGCGGCTGTCCCCTGCAGCGCCTGTCAGGAGGTGGATGCTGACACGTTCGGCGCTCCCAGCGGGTCTGACATTTCACTGGCCTGTGATATCTTACAGAGAGAGAAAAGAAAAGATTAGAAAGAAAGAGAAAGTTCTTCCGTGGGTTTCGGCGGTGTCTGAAAATACTCTTATTCACTTGTCCATCATGTGGAGTGTGAAGGGTTTTAGAGATTAGCCGTCCTCAGCGTCGGTTCAGGCTTTTGAAGGTGACCGGAGAAGAGGCGCAAAGACCAACCACTTGAAAATGAAAACTGCATTATTTGCTTATTCTAACGCATTCTTTGTATTCTAGACATCCCAACGGGCCGCTCAGAAGCCACACTGGCACCCGGCGGGCTAGACCCCGCTCTGTTTTTAATGTTAGGTTATTTAATGGCAATTTGGAGTCATTTATCAAGGTACTGATTACCGGCCTGCCGCTCCACTTTGCTCCTCCTCCTGTCTATTTTCTGTCTTGCTCTGGCTTTCTGGCCATTTTGGTGGGTTCCCCCAAAGCATCTTAGCTCTGATTTATCGCTCACCAACAAAAACAACAACAACAACATATTTGTGCTAAGATGGATTCTGGAAACCTTCCTCATGAGTCAGTGAGCTCCGGCGGTCTGAGATGTCGGGGTGGCATTGATAGATCTGGAGGGCTGCGGGAGGAGAGGAGCAGCAGTCGGAGGGATAAATGTTTGTCTCCGTCAGCTCCCCTGACTCACTGCTGACCTGGCATCACCGAGCTGCTCTGGCACAGAGCTTCTCTCTCCGCCTCCTCCAGAGCGAGAGCAGAGGCCAGTGAACAACAGCAGGATAAATGGCAGTCGGGGAGCGGATGCCAAACTGATAAGGTGTGCTGCTGCTGCTGCTGCCTCCCTCCTCCGGCCTCTTCACTGCCTCTCACTGGTGGCCGTGTCCAGCCCTGCCTGGTTCCTGTCCAGTTCCCGCTGTTTTCTTTTGGGTTTGATGCCAGCACAGAGTGGAATGAAGGTGCGCTCTTTAGCAAAAGCTTTGGTGGGCAGCTGCTGTGGTCCTAATCTGGATCTTGCTTTTTTCTCTCTCTCTCTCTCTCTCCATCTCTGTCTCTTGCAACCTTTCCTCCGTAGCCGCGGACGACGGAACTCACACACCCGACACCAGGTAGACTCTCTGAGGCGTCTGTGGGGAGCCGTGCTGCTTGCTCTACCTGTCCTGCATTAACAACAGTTTCACTTCCACTGTGTGCTCGTCTTCTTTATTAATCACCTAACCTTTGTGAGCGCACTCAGACAGACTGAAGAGGTTCATCTTAGGTGCAGATTCCCAACAGGAGGCGCCCTCACGTCAAAACCACAGCTGAGTCTCTCTGATACGAAGCAGCCGTCCCACTCTCACATACCCAAAGAGATTGCATTACATAATCCAGCTGCCCCCAGACCTGAGCCTCAGCCCTCAGCGCTCCGCTCCAACAATAGCGAGTCGATTTTGGCATCGTTGTTGTGTTTGAACCCATTGTATACCCCTGAGGGCTGTAAACAGATCCACTGTATCATTAAAAGCATGTACCGAGTCCCCTGTCCAGCGCTGAGCAGCTGGCACCGAGGCAGAACCAGAGTGCGGTCCACGTCCAAGTGAGGAATGTGAAGGAGACGGTGACTCTCCCTCTCATCTCCCCACTCCTGCCCCGAGCTCCGTACACAGTGTTAGATAAGCTGCTGTTAATTTAAACACGGCCTGAGACCAAGTGTTTAAACAGCACTGGAGGCCCGTTTGAAATGTTCTGGACAACATGTTCACGCCTGTTGTAGCTCCTCGGTGGTTATTATGGGTCACACAGCAGGTGAAGTCGGGTCAGTCTGTCTCGGTGAGGTCTCAGCAAAGTCTTGTTTTATCTAAACTTACCCACTTCACTCACACCGGGTGTGCATGTTTATACGTGTTGATGTCACTTCCTGTTAGAGCCCAACCAATCCGTCAGTTCTGTTTGTCCATGTGGGATTATCACACATCCTCCAGCATCAGCACTGGAAGAGCAGCAATAACTCATATTTCACTTTTATTTTGAAATTTATCCGATTTATCTGCTCAAAATGTACAGAAATCTTATATTTAAACTATTAAACAGCTGAACTCAGAATGTCTTCATCACAGAATGTTAGTTTTCTGTGTGTATGTGGCACAAAGCGGTATCATATCAGATTATTCATATGCTGTCAGACAGTCGGTGTTGGTGGGGCTCTAGCTGGTGTGCATGTGATATAAAGCAAGTTATACAGAATCTGATGTGGCTTCTGTTCACGTTGCCTTCAAAGGACTCGGGACAGGCGATCCCCCGCGTGGTGGAGAGCTGCATTCGCTACATCAATCTGTACGGTGAGTCTGGAGAAAAAACTATGAACTGAATTCTTGTTTTTATCTATATACACACACACACACATATGTTTGTTTCTCTATACGTTCCTCTCACAGCCTAAATACAACCTATGTAATCTGTCTGGTTTTCAGGCGTTGGTTGTTTGGGGCGTGTTTGTAGTTTTTTGTTCCGCTCCAGCCGGCGTTATGGGAACGATGCCATCCTGTTTACAGTGATGCAGCCGTTTCCAGCCGACGTCCCAGAACCACGACTCGGCCTCGCACAAGAGAGGACTTTGAGTTTTTGTTTAGTTTTTAAACCAGATTGAAGAAGACTAGAAGAGATTTTTGACAGAAGCTGAAGCTGGGCGTCTGCGGGGTCGCCGGCTGCATCTTATCAGCGAGAGGCCTGAAGGAGGCAAACAGCGGACTAATTACGCTTCATCCTGACTTTTGACCTCTCCCCTTATTAAGTCCTAATCCCAGCTGGAAGACACTTCAGTGGAGCTTGATTGCGGTCTCCCTCACTCATTATTATCTTTAATTAGCAAAGCGAAGGGGCTTAACGAACAGGATGTGCCTTTTAGGTTCAACACAAGAAGCTTTATTTGCTGAGTGAGGGATTTTTTTTTCATATGTGATCATCTGGGTGGACTCATGAGCATGTGGAGTGTGCCTTTGCTTTGCTCTGACTCCTGATTCTCCTCCTTCCTTCTTCTCTTTGCCGCTCAGGCCTCCAACATCAAGGAATATTCCGTGTATCTGGATCCCAGCTGGAGGTCAATGACATCAAGAACTCATTTGAGAGAGGTACAGTAATCTGTTACTGTGAATGTAGAAGCTCTCTGCTGTTTCCTGGAGTTACAGTGTGTATTTGTGTTTGCCTCATTGTTATAAGAATCAAATATGTGGCGTAATTAGGAGCTGATCATCCTGCAGCATATCGACCGTGTGCAGCCACGAGGCTTTCTGACGTGCTGATTGTTTCCTGTCATGTGCGTTCTTATTCAATTTAAGTCTCTAATTTATCTGCTGGTGTGTCTTTGTTTTAGGGAACGACCCGCTGACAGATGACGAGAACAATCATGACATCAACTCGGTGGCCGGCGTTCTCAAGCTGTACTTCCGCGGTCTGGAGAACCCTCTGTTCCCTAAAGAGAGGTTCAACGATCTGCTCTCGTGCATCAGTAAGAACACGTTTTGGCGTAGAGTCGGTCAGGTGCTGTCATTCTGAGTTGTTTGTTATGACGGAACAAACGTTTCTCTGTTTATTTTTTTAGTGATTTTTTTATTTAATTTTTTTTAAAGCTTTTTTTTTTCTTGCATTCGGAGGACACGGTTATCTAACTTAGATGGATTTGTGTGCTTTTCACATGAATCCTGGTGAACTGACCCTCTGAACCCCAAACAGTTTCTGGCTGGTTTTTGGTTGTTTTTAGCTCCTGTCCCATTTTTACTTCCTGCCGGCTAATTTCTCGCAGCGCAGCCATGACTAGAAGCAGAGAGAGCTCCAACATGTCTTCTGTGTCGTGCAGCAGTTAAACTGACAAACATCAGACACAAGAGAGAACAAAAGCTGAATTCTTTGGATTATTTATTTTACAACAATTAAAAAAACTAGAAGCAACATGCACAACGTTTTTGGTCCTAGCTGGAAAAACGTGACTCTACCGACTGCATATATTTTACTGCTTAGGTTGTTATTTTGCCTCCATGCTGTCGATTGGAGGATCTGCTTCATGTTCAGTCACAATGCTGGAGCTCCACAAGTGGATTCAGAGAAACACAGAATGTCCTGTTTTTACTGAATCTGATTCGTGTTAATCAGACAGCTTGTGGCTCTGATAAATCATGTAGTTTTGGTGACTTTTTTTATAAACGATGAAGCCCAGCAGCAGGTTTTGGGGTTCACTGGGTTAACTCACAACACACTTCAGTTCTGAAATGGTCTGTTTAGCTGCTGCTGCTTTAGCTGCGTGTCTCCTCTCCTGCTTTATTACTGGTCCTGATGAAGACAGCGGTCAGTGTGAGATGCATATGGTACATTTTGATGGACTGACTCTGCACATCCTCACTGAGTGTGCAGAGCATCAACCTGAACTACAACTCTCTGGTTAGCGCTGCAGCTACACACTGTGGACCTTTAGCTTTTATGTCCTGGTCAGAAAAACACTGAAGCTGTACAGATTCTCTGTTTGTTCCAAATGAACGTTTTCATTTTTTCTGGATGTTGTTTATTTGAGGTCGAAGTGTTCAGTTATTTGAACAATTTTCCAATTTCACTGGAACCCGTTTGTAGTCACCAGTTGAACCTAATGTTGGCTGTCAGACACATTCCTCAGATCATGAAACAGTATAATTAACCGTCCTTTGTGTTTCGTCAGCACAGTTCCTGGTGTTTTCGACTCCACTCAGCGTGGATACTACTGTGTGGTGTTTGGTCGAGCACTGAGAGGGATATTATTTGTCATAAGTGGCACAAAGCCGGCCACAGAGCTCTGGTGGAATGTTAAATGTCCACAGCGCTCTGTGGTGGAGTCCTCACAAGAATAGTCACATTGTCGCTTCGACTGTGAGTCAGTCCACAGATCAGTCGGCTCTTTGTGTGGATTTTCCTGATCTTTTAAGGCAGTACATGGGGAGCTTTTCAGCTCCGTTAAAGAACAATTGAATATGCACAGAGTCACATGGGCCCAGCGTGTGCTCTCATGCCGAGTGTGTGTGTGTGTGTGTGTGTGTGTGTGTGTGTATTCGTGCAGGCTCTTGTGTACTCCTGAGTGTGTCTTTGCGTGTGTCCTGGGTGTACCTTTACACCCTGGTGCTGGATGAGTGATGGGGATTCCCTGTTTACATTCTCCAGCTCAACATGCCCGTGATGGCCGAGCGCCCAGCAGGCTCCATATTAAACCCCGTGTTCCATATGGAGCAGCTCGGACCAGCTACAGGATCACTTTTCAGTTCAGCACCTCTCAGTTGACCGTATTTTTTTGTTCGTTTTCATCACGGCAGCAGCTATCGTGGTTGTGCTATCTTTCATTCTGGAGCTTGCAGCAGGGACGCTTTGTGCTCACACGAGTGTTTGTAGGTGATGTGTAAGCCTCCACTGGAGTAGGTCCTGAAATAGTTGCTTCTGAATTTCTCACAGAGTCCTAGTTAGGTATTCATGAAAAATGAAATGCATCACAAGAATCCCAGAAGCCCAAATCCCAGATGGCAGCGAGTGGCTGGAGGGTGACACGGCTATTTTTAGCAGCCAGCAGAGCCCCACCTCAGCCGAGCAGAACCGGCTGCTTCAGGTGCCTCAGTGGAGCAAACCAGAGAGTAATGAAAGACAGAACAGTCAGCATCCTCTACTTTAGGGGTGGGCAGTCCTGGTCCTCCAGGGCCACAGTCCTGCATGTTTTAGATGCTTCCTTCTTCCAACACACCTGATTCAGATGATCAGGATGTTATCAGGCTTCTGCAGAGCTTGATGATGAGCTGATCGATTGAATCAGGTGTGTTGGAAGAAGGAAACATCTAGAACATGCAGGACTGTGGCCCTGGAGGACCAGGATTTGACACCCCTGCTCTACTTGGTAGAGCACAATTACAGAAAAGTGTTTTTCTCCACATAAAATCATAGTTAACACACAATACAAACCCTCTGGTGAAGCTCGCTGCTCATTGGCCGGCAGCCTGAAAATGGAGCGTGGACTTGTTAGAGAGATGCTGTTTTCATTTAGAGCATAAAGAAAACTACTGTGTCCTTGTCGTCAGATGCTAATGAACAGTGCCTGCTTCCTTCTTCCTCTGTGGTGTCAGCAGAGGAGTATCAATCGAGATGAAGGTTTAGGCTACAAACACACACTTTACATGTCATCAGTACATCTCTGCTGGTCTTCCAGAGACTTACACTAATTAAGTAATCAGCTCAGCTCAACTATTGATATCTTGGTGTAGTGATGATGTGTACGTGGACACCATCCGATAGTTTTGGTAGAAATGAACCCCAGATGTCGACTCCTGAAACAAAGTGATCGTTTTTTATTTAGCTGTATTTTAATTGTTGTGTTACAGCGTTTTACTTTCTTAACATCAACCCTCTGTGTTCTTTTCTTTTTCTGCTGCTACAGGAATAGACAACCTGTATGAGCGGGCGCTGTACATCCGTAAGATCCTGCTGACCATTCCCAGATCGGTCCTCATCGTGATGCGCTACCTCTTTGCCTTCCTCAACCAGTGAGTTTACAGACACCAGCTCGTACATCCAACCTCTCACTGTATGAATATTACCCCTCTTCAATGAGACGTGAGCTCCATTAAGCTTCAACTGCTCCCTCTCCCTCCGTCCATCCTTCCCAGTCTGTCCCAGTACAGCGATGAGAACATGATGGACCCGTACAACCTGGCCATATGCTTCGGCCCCACGCTCATGCCCACGCCAGACAGCCAGGACCAGGTTTCCTGCCAGGCGCACGTCAATGAGATCATCAAGACGATAATCATCCACCATGAGACCATCTTTCCTGATGCCAAAGAGCTGGACGGGCCCATCTATGAGAAGTGCATGGCGGGTGGAGACTACTGGTGAGAGAGAAGGAAACACATCAACACGTTGCTCTCTATCATGTATGATGGAATATTTAGCCATCAGTTGGTGTTGGATTCAAACTTTAAGCTGTTTCTTTTAGATTGGGGCTCATTTTCTTGCTCAGTTGCTCAGGAAGTGCAACGTGAAGTGATTCAAATGAACTAAAACACAAAAAGAAAACTCAGATGCTTCTCATTTTGCAGAGCTAATCCACATGAGAGTTTTCAGACTTTGCATGTGTGAACGAGGAAAAGCAGAGAAACACCGAAAAGGAAGTTGGTTGCAAAAAGAAACAACAACAGTTGCACAGAAATATTTCAGCCACAGACAGCAGGATGCTGAGGGACTTTGTCGGCAGCGTCTTGTTGACACTCCCTGAAGCAGCACAACTAATTTGTTGGAGCGTTTGAATCAACACCACAAAGCTCTCTATGATGAGCTAAAGGCATCCAAAACACTGTTTTCTATGCAAAGTCATACAAAATCACCAGAAATGATCCAAGTAGTTGTTCCAGTCATCCAGTGAAAATTCCTGTAATTTCTCATATAGCAGAAAATATACATCAAATAAACACTAACTAAAAGCAGCTGTTTCCCTGCTGGTTCCTGGACCGCTCTGTCACCGCCGTCTGAGGTCAGTTTGTAGGTTTTCTGGTGATAAAAGTGAAAAACACTTTGTCGAAGCCACTTCATGCAGCTACACAGAGATTTCCCAAACGATATGTAGCAGCCTGACAGATGGCAGTGCTTTTCTAGTGAATGGACCTGAGGCACGCAGCCAACCCTCTTTCATTAGCGTCTGACTGAACATGCAGGTATGCGTGAGCTCTCCGTCCTGCAGCCGCATCAGCAGCACGTCAGGAGAGCTGATATGAGGAAGCGTACACGCCAATTAGGCCTCTGTGGTTCAGAAACATGACAGGGTGGTGAATGTTTCAGCGCTAGACTTTACATGGTGGACTTTGTGGGCGAGACAGGCTGAAACAATCACTTTAATTAGTTCGATCACAGCAGGAGTGAAGGAGAAGGAGGTCACCTGGCAGGGAGGGATGATTGGTTGAAATGCAGCACATACTGGAGTCAAACAGGTCAAACTCGAGGCTCCTTGCCAGCTCCACATCTGTACGCAGAGCTTATCGCTTGTTTCTTCCTGTCTTTATCTGTCTCTCCTCTTCTGTGCCCCCACATCACCACAGGCTGACAGGGATTTATCCCGAGCTCGAGCTAATCACCCGTCTCAGCGCGGCCGAGTCCCCCGGCAAGGCGTACCAAGCCCTGGGGAGATTTGTTGTCTTGGCTGCCTCCCTTTCTTCCAGGAGAGGAGGTGGCTGCTGACATGTTGGCATGGGAGGAGACACTGGGTTTAATCTGTGGGGATATGTGTGGCATTACTGCCAGCTCTCACAGCACGATGCCAAAACAAGACCATTTAGAAAAAGAGGTCCAACCACAGATCGAGGCTCTAAGCCTCTCACAGAATACCCACAGTGACCGCTGCTTGAACCTCCTCTCCTGATAATTGAAAGACCTTCTTTCCTTCTTGTGATCTTCACTGAAGTGACCTGGGTTTGCTGAGATCTTCTGTTTTAAGCAACACTTTAAAATTTGGTATTTTCTGACCAATAGACCAGAGAAAAAGGTAAAACTACACAACAGGGGTTAGGGTGTTTTGTCATGTCTTCTGGAGCTCTACCTTGACTCCTGACCCCTGATCTGTGTTGTGGCCGTGGCCCTGATGGTTTGCTTGTTGCCCCCACAGTGAGAGCCCCTACAGTGAGCATGGAGCCCTGGAGGAGGTCGACAACGAGGGAGGCACTGAGACGCACACCAGCGAGGACGGTGAGTCTCTGTGAGAGCTTCTGTTCCAGCGTATAGAACATGAGCACATGAATGATGTACGTTTGTCCTTTTAGCGTCCTCACAGCTTCCCAGCAGAGTGTGGTGCAAACAGCAACACGTTAATTAAACTTTATTATCACCCACAGCACTGTCCATATGCTGAGTCCAAATTTAAGCTTTCCCCCCATCTGTGGTGTTTGGAGGGTTAAAGCCAGCTCTGTGCAGCTCAGGGTGGCTAATCCTGCCTTTCAGCCCCTTAAATGCATTAACCTTGAAGGGCCGAGGAGCTGGGCTGAGTGATGGACAGCCATTCATATTCTAATGCTTCGTCCTCGGGGCCTCAGGACACCTCCACATTCACATTTTTTACAAATTCACTGGTGGTCTGCACCCACCGGACCCCTCTGGAAGAGAAATCTGTTTCCTTAAAGGTCTTGGAATACATTTTTCCAATTCCCTTGTTTTTTTTCTTTCTTTCAATACCATGTGAAGAATCGATGTTATAGTAATTTGTAAAGGAATAGCAAATGTGTGGAGCGTGTTTTAAGACGTGTCAGGTTTTAGTAGCATGTCAGAAATTACACAGCCTGTGTTTTCTCTGCTTTAATTACGTTTCCATACGTCCAAGAGAAATACGAAAGGAAAAGAAAAACCCTGGGCTCATGTAGTCACCAGAGGATCAGACACGGTGGGATGTGTTCAGCCTGTGTGATCATACATGTGGTCCTTTGTTTGCGTGAAAGGGATACCGGTTGGTCGGGTCCAAATCAAATAAGTGGAGGCCAGAGGATCAGACGGGGTCAGACGTTGCTGTTTAGCTCTCAGTGAAAAGCAGAAGCAGACAGTGTAGCTCACAGCGCTTTAGAAACTGTCCACATCTGGTCGGAGTGGGCTGAAAACGTCACCGACCTATAGCTGAACCAAGTCTTCACATCCTACCTTAGTAACAGACTTTCTTAAACCTGTTTCCATGGTGACAGCAGTTGCCCCAATCCTGTCTCCGTCTCACACCCAGCGACGAGCGCATCATCAGTCTCCGCAGACGAGAGTTCGGAGAACGTGGTTGTTCTCTTATCGTGACATCAGATGTTCATCAGTCTGCTTCGTGTTAACGTCCTGTCTGACTAACGGGGATGTCTAAAGAGCCCGACTGTACGACACAGATGGCAGCCATCAGCTCTGAGTAATTAATAGAAGATCATGTTTTCTACAAATCCCCAGCGACTATAGTTTTGTTCCAAACGCTGCTCTGAACAAACTGGGAGGATCTTCTCGCTGACCGAGCGCCTCCCTTTGGAGTCTTGAACTGTGGTCAAGTTATTGTCATCAGTTATTTTTAAATCCCCATGACCTCATTTGGATCTCAGACACAGAAGCAAACCTCTGTTTAGTTCCAAGCACTCGTCTTCTGCAGACTGAAGCAGTTATATATATATATATATATAGTTTTTCTCTCTCTCCTTTTATCGAGGATCAAAATGTGTTTAGTCCTCGTTGCCCTCAAAGTAAATGAACACGAGACAGGCAGAGCGAGAACGAGAGGAGTAAAAGTCGTGTCACGTCTCAGTAGCGGTCCAGGAATCAGATGAATGTGGAGTGTCGTGGAGCTCATTATCTCAGATAGATGATGTGGGCCGGCCAGACTCACAGAAAGTAAAGCTACGTGTTAGCTTAGGTTAGGTGGTGGTGGTGGGAAAAAAGAGGACAATCGTTTGGATCGCTGATGATCAAGATACTGATAGCATCATGTAGGAGCTTCTCTAAAGCCTGGAACAGTCGGATGCTGATGTGGATCCCTGTTGCACTGAAGCCATAGAGCTAAGTGCCCAATTTTCTGATAAATACCCCAGAAGCTCATTTAACGAAACGCTCTGAAGGTATCCGGATAGAAGCATCATCGCCTCTTTTTTATAATCCAACAAAGATATGAGTGGTACAGCTCCTGGTTTGTCCAGGATGAACCAAGGCTGCTTTGTAAATCTTTCATGTTTTCATCCAACACGCTGCGCTCATGTTCCTCTTGTTCATGCATTTCCGGCTTCCTGGTTTCTGAAGTACATCGCCAACTTAGGAAGTGTTTTTATCCAGATTGTAAAAGTCTTTTGAAACAGCAGCAGGTTAAATGACTTCTGGTTTTCAGAACCAAACACTGGGGTGTCATTTGTTTTCCAAAACCCCAGTCTCTGTGATTCAGATGTTTTTATATTACACCCTGGGTTGGGCCGTAGTATGTAGAGATGGACAAACCCGTTGATTTCCTGAGCAGCGGTCCAGAAGCTCGGTGTGGAGGCTTCTGCCGTCACCATGTTAGCAGTGCCTGACTCCTCCTGACTCCCAGCTAATCCAGAACGGGCAAAGAGGTGGAGTGTAAGTGGAGCTGAGGTGTGTGATGTCACTCAAAGCGGTCACTCCCTGAATTACACAGAACTTTAATACGATTGTTCTGGGTGAGCTTTATGAAACATCGCGCCTCGTACGGTGGTCGTAAACATTAGTGATCGAGATCAGAACCAGTTTGTCGTACCAGGCTGTAAAGATGTTTGTTTGGGTGTTTTAAGGTGGGGCTTATGGGGGTTATGGGGGTGACTCACTTATGGAGCCAGCCTCTAGTGGCCATTCCAGGAACTGCAGCTTTTGGGCACTTCAGCATTGGCTTCGTTTTTCTGCCCCAGAGGTTTCAGCTTCAGTTAGATTTTATTCATCATCTAGCATTTGTTGTTATTGATTATTTATTACAGATATTCATCGGTCCCAGAGGATGAATCGAGCGGTGGTACTCCCATCACTAGCAGGCCAAACCTTTCACATATTATGTAAAAACTGAAATAATCACTTTCTTTGCTATTATGAGGCCAAAAGTGAAGTTTTTAATCAGACACATGTAAAGCCATCAGTCTCAGCTTGTTCACACTAGTGTCCTCATTGTGTCTTCAGCTGATTAAAGCAAGAATCATGTTAACACATGAGAGGCACAGCGTGGGGCTTCGTGACACTAAACCTTGTACCGGACTCGACTTAATTCTGCTAGTGGCCGTCACACATGACTCATGAGTGTCATGGACCGTAGCTGTCATGCAGGGAGATTAACTGTCTGTTTTTAGAGTGGCAATTCTCGCGCACCATCAATACATTGACGTCCTATCTGCTGGTAAATTTGCCCCAAGGTCAGAGGTGAACTAACTGGCACATTGATTATATATCACTTTACAGGAATGCATCAGGATGTCCTTGTTCCGAAGCGCCCCAGCAGGCGTACTGTACATATTGGATTGCACATGTTAAAGGGAAATGTATTTTACAGTGCAGTGAGGGTCATCCTTTTTCCCATTTAACCCGCTTTCATCTTCTCAAGTCCAGCGTGGCGTCTCCAGCTCGGCTCGGAGCAGCAAACACTTTAGATTAATATTTGTGCTCAGATAGAAAAGAGTGGATGGAAAGGAAAAAAGAGTTTATACCTCCTTTTGTTGTATTGATCCTGACTACATCTCACAGCGGGCTTGTGCTGCCCTATTTCTCTGTATGAACATTGACGTAGAGCAGCATCCACACCGACTGCGCTCCACTGGCTTGTGTAAGACATCTGACAGTTCGTATCTCTGACACCACAGGCCTCCAACTCTCACAGTTCAACATTTCTTTAACTCCAGCTCCAGCGCCAGAGTGTGTGTGAGTGTGTGTGTGTGTGTGTGTGTATGTGCATGCAACCTCGGGTGGTTGGGTCTGAAGCGATTCTCAATTATAATTGTAGAACATGACAGAGGGGATCCTTTACTGCACTAAGATTTGAGTTTATAGGCGGCTGCTTCCAGCTGCATCCATGTCACTGTGTGTGTGTGTGTGTGTGTGTGTGTGTGTGTGTGTGTGTGTCTTGGATAAACATTTGCAGATGGATGGATGTGTAGAAGTGAATGAATGAGATGATAAGAATAGAGGGAGGAGGAGAAGCCCTGCTCCGATCAGGCTGCCGTCAGCTTTATTAACAGCCTTGTCTGCTGGAGTGCAGCCCAATTAATTCAGACAGTCAATTCCTGCTTGTCACATTTCATCGCAGCCACGTCACATCCACCCTGTCGATCCTGACAAGCCACTGATGCAAGGAAGGTGGCGAGTTAAAGGTGGAAAAAGGCAGAATAGAAATAGATGAGGTTGAAAAGGGGACACTGCTCAGATCCTGGGCCGGGTTTCGTTTCTCACACGTCGGACGCTCATCTGGAAACTGCTCAAGAAACATGAGTGAAATGTTGAGACAAGTTTCAGCCGTTTGCTGTGTGTGGAGAGCCGGCGTTAGGCTGCATCTGTCCAGGGACCCCCTGTCTGACTTGAAGTGAGAAAGTGAGTTGGGAGGAGGGCAGAGGTAGGAGCGAGGGAGGAATAAAGCAGCTATTTTTAGAGCCGTGTTGCTGGAGTGCATGCATTACGGCGGGGAGACTCGTACCCTGTGAGCAGCAGAGTCAACTGTGGCTGCAGATGTTTTCTACAGATCCACATAAGACAAGTTGAAATAAAGCGTAATGATAAATCTACTGTTCTTTATGATGGTCCTTCCTCTAAAACTTTTTTCTGGCTTTTCCATGTGTTGTCATCAGTCCAGTCCAGTGATCCATACAGTGACTGACATGCATGGATCTCTTCTCTAAAGCTTCTATAAATACCCTGCTGGAGTCCCTGAGGGCCTGCTGTGGCCTCGGCCTGGTGTTGTAGAGCTGGGTTACTATTGACTACAGCTAAAATAACCAGCTGGCTTAGCACACTTGAACCCCATGTGCACTAACTCTGCGTTCACGTGTACAAACACGCCAGCATTAGTCTGTCCTGCATCGTGGCCAACATGTGTTTGTGTTTCCAAATTGGGATCTCTGTTTCCTCAGGCTACAACCCTCGTATCAGTCATTAAAAGTGTCTGCACACACGATAATAGGCCTCTCTACTTGATGTCTTTGCCACGTCTGACATACCTGACCCGTCTAATCCTTTTTCTGTTGACAGAGGGCGAGCCCATCGAAGCCATTGCCAAGTTTGACTACGTCGGGCGCTCGTCTCGAGAGTTGTCCTTCAAAAAGGGCGCCTCGCTGCTGCTGTATCAGCGGGCGTCTGAAGACTGGTGGGAGGGACGGCACAACGGCATCGACGGCCTGGTGCCGCATCAGTACATCGTCGTCCAAGACATGTGAGCGTTTCATATGTTAAACTGATTTTGCTTTAGGGCTGAATGGTCACATGTTGAATTTATACAGAGAGAAGTTATGTTGATTCATCATAAACACCTCATTCTGCTGCTAGATGTGTTTGTTCTTGTTTCAAATGCGAGCAGAGGAGCTGCATCACGCACAGAGCTCAGACACAGCAGTGAATACTAACAAGCTCACCTCTAATGACCTCTCCTCCCACCGTGGGCTGCTCTAACCCTCTGAACCTGCTCGGGTTCTGGGTGTTTATGGCTCCTGTCACGTCTTTACTCGCTGCAGCTGAAAGTCCTGAAACAGGACAGTCATGACTAGAAGCAGAGAGAACTCAAACATCCCTTCAGCGTAGAAAAACAAAGGTTTAAAGGAGAAAAACTAAATTTAAATTTTTTTAGTTTTTATTTTACAGGAAAAAAAAGAAAAAAAAACAGAACCAACATGTGCAGGTTTCCAAGTATCCCCCAGATTCTACCAACACAACCGTAGGTCTACATACTACTGATGCTTTACTATTTACATTTTTTTCCCCGTACTTGTCTCCTGCTTTGTGTAACGCTGCAGTGCATTTCAGTACATTTCAGTACATTTCAGTACATTTCAGTACATGTCAGTACATGTCAGTACATTTCAGTACATTTCAGTGCATTTCAGCTGTAAATGTTTTTTGTCACGTGATCGTGGGTCACAGCTGAGTCGCTGACAGCTCAACAGTAGATTGTAGAATTTTTAGTTTTTTACAGAATATAAATTAGAACAAACTGTTTATTTTGGAGAAGTTTTAAATGCGACATCTAAAATAAAGTAGGTTTGGTGAAATAGCGCCGCTTGAAGCTCCGATTTGGTCCCAATCTTTACGGCTCACTGACATACGATTCATTACTTATATGTTATAAGTTAGATAACATTAAAATGACAGTTTGCTCTTTTATGGACTATGTTTTGATTTGATTTGCAGGCAACTAGCAAAGCTCTGGGGAGAATCTTAAACTTAAGGTTTAGCAAACACATTTTTGAAACTGACAGAAATGTGATTGTGAAGAAGAGCACATGCGAGCGTGCTTTCGTCTAAAATGTGTAGCTCATGCGTGTTTTTAATCATACAGGATCATGTGATATTTATGTACAGGTGGCACAGGGAACATTGCTCTCTGCTTCCCCCGTTAATTTTTTGTCCTCAGGTTACCAGACTGCTGGCACTCAGAGCCTGAGAGCTGATATTCTGCGGATGATGTCCCCGTGGGTTAAACAACACACTTGTCCTTGTTGACTTTGCTCTCCATGAAGGCTGCAGGCCTTCACTCGGCTGTGGGGTCGTGCATAGAGGACCTTCAGCCTCATTTGTCTCGCCCGCCGCTGTCCTCCCTGCTCGGTTGTGGAGCGATCTCCGTCTCCGGGGTCCTTAACCAGCCCTTCTGTCACTGTCTCGTGCTCTCACCACTAACAAGCGTACACTCTGCCCCAGCAACTGTTGGTGCCTAATGGACTGGATTCACTGTCTCGTTAGGACTGGAACAGAATCACTCCAATCACTTAGTAGCTGGCTGACAAAACGGCCATTTAGAATGCCTTCTCACTCTTTGCTCTTGTCTTTTCCCTGCTGCTGTCCCGTCAACGGGCCCCTATCAATAATTCAGCAGGAGGGGCCCTGCTGATGGGGCGTCTTCTTAGTTAATGAAAGAGCAGGAGAATTTACAGCTGTACGGGCTGTCCCCGAGCCCAGCAACATCCTGCTCTCTACTTAAACAGAGCAGGCAGAGGAGTGTGAGAGCACGCCGGGTTGTGGTCTTTGCTTGTCCCCATAAAAGAGCCCAGAATAAAACATCTCCAAGTCTGAGACTCGGCACAAGATGTCTCCTCTCAGGACTCAACTGTCGGGCGGTTCAAACATTCTTGTGTCTGTACATTTTTTACTGCTGCCTCTGCTCTGGAGAAGCGCTTGGCTTCGCTCTGTCTCTGTGCGCATTCATGTGGATACACTAAATAAGTGACTGAGCTTTATGAGCGCCTAATACACATCATCGGAGGCAGCAGTGCAGCTCAGTAGCTCTGATTACTGCCACCTGACAGGCACCAACTGTACTCAGTATCCAGTCACATACCTCGCTGATGAAACCCATACAGCTGGCTCGTGTGTGAGCGTATGTGTGTGTGTGTGTGTGTGTGTGTGTGTGTGTGTTAGTGCCACAGAGCATCACCAGAATACTGAGCGGCTGAGGACCATGACTCATCTGACTCTCTGGACCTTGGGGGGGAGGCGGAAAAGAGGGATACGTGCTGACTCACAGGAAATGGATATCAAATACTGTTATCGAAGAACAGGGCAAATACCAAAGATTGACTGATTTGCTGATTTCCCTTTTTTTTTTTCCCACTTCTCTCTGTCTGTCGCTTCCTCTTGCTCTTTCCATGTCTCAATGTCACACCGTCTCTGTGTCCCAGAGATGACAACTTCTCAGACACTCTGAGTCAGAAGGCTGACAGCGAGGCCAGCAGCGGCCACGCCGGCGACGAGAAATGCTCGGGGAAAGATATCAGCTCGCCCACGGACACCAGGATCTCCGAGGCCTACATCACCAGGTGGGTTTCTGTAGCACTGGACTGCAACATGGCAGCCAGCAGCTCCTACAGGGAACCTGAAAGGAGAGCCGCAGAAGGTTGAATTTATCCGTCTGAAAACTCTACAGAAAATATATGTTACTGCACATGACAGCCAAGATTTTCCCCAAACTACAGGCCTTAGTGTTCTTACTGCACTCAAACAGGCTTTAAGAGACGTTTCTGTGAAATCAACAAGCATCCCACTGGGTAATTAGTGCCTGTCCTCCTCACACCATAGCAGCCGATGCACAGTTTGACCAGAACACGTCCTGATCCAATAAGAGGCTGCTAATGCAATAACCCCTGACAGTCGAGCAGCACGTCTGCAACAACTAGACTGTTGCATCACCCAAGGTGCTTAAAGAGCTTCAGGTGTGCACACGACAGCACGCAGAGACTCGGACACGTGAAAGATGAACAAACTTTTCTCTTTTTTTTTTTCATGTACTGACAATAATTGGTGATGTTTTTAACCTTTCCCTTCTAAAGCAGCAGTCTGATGGCGTCCCTTTGCTTCGCCTGTTATGCGACCAGGACTGAGGGACTTAGGGAAGCGTATGCAATCAATCTTCAGCGCTCCACACAGGCTGCCTCCTCCTGTTATGTGTCCTCAGCTCACCTCTCTCTACCTAACTGCCACCGGACTCAGCCCGGCCCACTCTGTCCTGTCCCCGGTGACCAGACAGCTCCTGTTGTGAAGTATGAGTATTAAATAGCTGTTTTAATAATGCACACGAGGGAACGGCGCACACGGAGAGGACGCACGCATATCCAATCACACCTCCGTCTTTTTGGCAGCATCTGCTGGTTGCGTGCCAGTATTTCACTATTTCATCTGCTGCTCTCTCTCCGTTGCTGCGTTTCTGGTGGAATCAGCGACCTTGAAATGTCTGTGACTGGCTTTTGCCCAACACATGAGCAAATGCTGTTTTACCCGCTCATGTTGATGATTCATGCTGGTGGCCGTGTTTACACCACTGCAGGTATGTGGATGGAGTATCTGAGTGAGTCATGCTTTTAACATCAGCTTTAATGAACGTGGTCCCCGAGCAGCCGTCTGCAGAGCTGCTTCCTGTCACCGGCTCCCAGGTGATCGCCCACCTCTCGCTCTCCTGGTTTTTTTTCCCATCTACCCCCCACTCGCTTTCTGCTCCTCCATTCAGACAATCCTCACAAGTGTTGAATCATTTATACTCTGGGCTTTATTTAGATATTTTCCTCTCCTGGTGTCCTCAATCAGCAACACGCTCACCAGACGGACCTCTGAAAGAGTTTCATGGCAGGTCTGGGTAAACAGGACAGCTCTCAGCCTCTCTCAGCAGGAAGAGATGGATGTGATCACAACAGGCATTACCGTTTCCGTTTCGGTGAACAGGAACTTGTAGACTCACTTGTGATTTATTTTACATTATCAGCTGAAGCGGTAATCAGCAGAGGGCGAGCTGTCGGAGCGGTGACAGCTTGGAGAATAAGTGCCTGTTGTGGTACACTGTGTGCCACAGGGAGCTGGCTGCTACGAATGCAGACTGCTCCACCTGCAGTCCGTGAGCGGCTCCTGCACTTGTTTACTATTCTAGATTTCCACTGCAGTCAGGAAGAGAAAAAAATATTTATTTCTCACCAGGCACCAGGCCTGCACCACTCCATCACCGGCTCTTCAGTGTCTGGACCCGTCATCAGCAGCCAGTCACCGAGGTTTTACTGATATCTCTCATTCAGACATTTCTCTGCAGTGTGAGCAGACGTGAGGTTCCAGACTCTGACGTCATCACATGTACGTTTGGATGAACCTTTCTGGTTAATGTGCATCAGTAGTTTTCTGTGATGAAGCGATTCGATTGAGACGCCACAGCACTGTGTCTTTACAGGAGGAGCTGATGTGATGATCTCCGAGTCCCTCACAGCTCTTTATGCTCATTATTGCTTTTTTTGTTTCGCGCAGTGATGAAGCTGCTGGTAAATCCTGATGATAATAGCTGAGACAGCATTCATTAGGCAGAGGTAAACTCTCCAACTGAAGCCGTTTGTCTGGGAGAAGTGATTACAGGATGAGTAATTCACTTCTTGTTTTTAATCACAGAGAAGCAGCAGCACAGACACAGGACTAATTATTTTAGTTAATCTGGCACGTATCAGCTCACAGATATCACTGATTTAATATCTCCAGTTGTCGTCCTTTCAGAAAACGTAGACAAACCGACTGCACTGTGATATTATATCAGTTTCTGTCCGTACACCAGAGAAATTTCTTCTAAACTTCTCAGCTGTCCTGGAATAAATAACTTGAAAGTTTATTATTAAACTCTCCAGATTAAATTCTGTTTCATCACCAGCAGTCATGCTCAGATATATTTTTCAGTCATCGTGCTGTTTGACTGTACGTGATGATAGCATCTTTGATTAAACATTACAGCTCAGACTGAGGCTACTGTACTGCTGCTGGTCATAAATATGCAGAGCAGAGCCTATTAGAGCCACGCTGAGGAGGATGGATCGCTCTGTTGGCCTTTTATGGAGCAACAGAAATGCTTCAAGGCGCTAGATGTTCCTGTGGAGGAGCATCATGTAGAATCTCAATGCATATATATATGTATTAAGAAATCCTCTGTAATCTGGGGGAATGTGTGACTGATCAGACACGTGTACGCTCAGCTCTCTGTGAGCTTGTCAAATGAGGTGTGTGTGGTGTCCGCTGGTCCAGGTTCAGACAGAGGACAGGCGGACCGCTGAGGCAGCTGCAGCTTCTCCCAGCGAGCATGTTGTGGTGCTGTGACGGAGCCCAGGCCTCCCTCCTCTGGCCCACAGCCAGCTCCACGCTAAAATAAAACCACTGCTCAGGGTTCCTCTCACAATATTAATGTTTGTTTTCTTCCCCAAAGTAATAAAGGTTTCATGAGGATTCATTATAGGCTGCATTTAATTTAGAGCCTTAAATTATTGAATGCATCACAGTTGGTCCAAAAATGTGTTTTTCTTCAAAAGTGCTAAAAAGTTTATTCTGAGAGAAGCAAGCTGTAAATGGAGGATCCTCCACTTACTTACTTACCACTCCTAGGAGTGCTTCAGTCAGGCTTTGGCTCTGATGTCTGTCATTAAATATTTCTACCTGTTTCTTCGTCTCTCACTCGCATCACAGCAGACACAGAAAAAGATCGGACCCCCCATCTCGGCGGCCCCCTGCCCGCCCCAGCGACGTCCACTGCATGGTGCACACCTCCCAGCAGGGTCACGGCGGACACGGCGGGACCCCGGAGATGGGCTCCCCCGTTCTTGGCCACTTCAGCCCGCGGGACATGCTGAGGAGCCGCAACCACATGCCGATGGACAGCCCCGAGCGACGGCGCCGCACCGGCCACGGCAGCCTCACCAACATCAGCCGTCACGAGTCCCTAAAGAAGATGGAAAGCCCCCCGATCCGCCGCTCCACCTCCTCGGGCCAGTACACAGGCTTTACCGACGCCCACCACCACCACGGCGGCAAGCCCCTGGACCCGGAGACCATCGCACAGGTCAGCGCGGGACGAGCGGCGACCCGACCGCAGCTCCCTCCACCATCAAAGCCCTGCCCTGCCCTGTAAAAACATAGTCAGTCCCTGTCTTCTGCTTCCTCTGGCTGCAACTGTGTCTGTGTGCTAAATACACGCAACAAGACTAGCTTCACAGGCAGACAGCAGGGAGCGTAGCTCCACACGGGGACTAGTGGCAGCACATTTACTGGTGTCTCGCTCATAAGCTTCCAAAATGTTTACTTTGTCAGAAAATGAAAAGCAAAGAAGTCTGACTGGGAATAGTTTGAGTTCAAGCAAACTTCAGTTTGTGCATTTCTTACAGCTGTTCCATGAATAGTGGAGCCGCAGCTTTCATCTGCATCGAGCCTCAGTCAGAAAGCAGAGGTTACAGAGAGCACTGTAAACTGTGCTGGGCTGTCTGTCTGCCAACTGGGAGCATGCTCAGATGAACACGTCATCTCTGCATCTCCTTCACTATCCAAAGTCATTTGCATGCAGAGGGAGAAGCGTCGATGTGAAGTGATTCTCTACTAACGCTCTGCATGTTTAATGCATGCTTGGTGGTTCTTACAAATCTGTGGCTGTGGTCGTCAGCTAACAAAGTTTTTTATGTTTTCTCTTCCTTCTCCTTTCTCTCACGTCTTTGCTGTTCGTCTCTCCTCCTTTTCAGTTCTTTTATTTCTTCAATCTTGTCTTTTAATGTTCTCTTATTTTTAATCTTGCTGTTTCTTACGTATCTCTTTTATCACCCACCTCTCTGACTCATGCTCTTCTTGTCTCCTGCAGGACATAGAAGAAACTATGAACACTGCTCTGAATGAGCTGCGCGAGCTGGAGAGGCAGAGTTCAGCCAAACACGCCCCCGATGTGGTGCTGGACACCCTGGAGCAGCGGCAGACCTCCGGCGGCGGCGGTGGGGGTCCCACGCCGGCCAGCTCCAGCGAGTCCCTCAGCCCCATCCACGGCGTCATGCTGAGGTCCACCGCCAACACTGAGCCACCCATCCGCCGCAGCACCAGCTCCTCCAGCGACACCATGAGCACCTTCAAGCCGGCGGTAGCACCACGCATGGGGGTGCAGCTCAAACCTCCCGCTTTGAGGCCCAAGCCCATGGTGCTGCCCAAGTCCAGCCCGGCCCCACAGCCTCCTGCCACGTCTCCTCAGGACCCTCTGGACAAGTCCTGCACCATGTGACCTCTCAGACAGGAATCAGAGACGTAAAGCAAAAACTCTCCACTTCCAGGAGGCTGTGAAATACGACCAGTGTCTCCACCAGAAAAAATATCCGAGAGCATGTAAAATACCTGGACCTGGACAGGAAAGGACATTTTGTGGTGTTTTAAAGCTGAAAACAGGATCATCAAGAAGCCTGAGAGACTGATGTAGGTGTAGATTCGTCAGCCAGACAAATCTTCCGTCTCAACAACGTGCAGATTTATGTGTTGATATGCTTCGGTTGATATTATCTAACATATAGCTTTTTTTTTCTTTTTCTTTTTTTAAATAAATTCAAACAACAAATCACAAAGGCTTCCTACAAAGTTTTAGAAAAACGTTAGTTTAGTTTACGGACATTAACGAACTGAGTAACTCTGAACTAAACACGGTGCATGCACTTCTTGTGTTTACCACTGAAACTGATGGAAACTGTAGAGACCACAGCGACTAGAAAAGGTTTTTTTTTCTTTGGTTTTTACCTGTGACGGCCATGGAAGTGGTCTCGGACTGGTTCGACGGCCTCACTGACTCTGAGATGTACCTGGTTTTAAGTGTTCAACTATTCTAAAGGTGCTGTGACTACCTGGGAGGACGTGGTGTTAAGGTTGGACTGATACGGGGCTTGAACAGCTCCTAACAACTTATTTATTAACGGTACTCTGTTGATAAATTAACAGTACTGACTCCAGTATGCTTTTTTTTTTCTCGCTAGCATGTAATTTGCAGCTTTCTTTAGGTAACCATCAGTTCACCTCTGTGCTAGCTTCACTCAGACTTGTTTGAACAGATTGCCTGGAATAAGATATGACAATTGGATAAAACCACTACTTCATTATAGACTTTGTTTGGACATTGTGATGAATTCTTGGATCCCTGCGGGGGTGAAATATGCCTAACGTGTATGCCTTTGCATCTGTATAACAACCCATAGGGAGACGTGTGAAGAACTCTGATGGCGAACACGTGTTATTCTAAAGTGTGGACCACATGCCGTAGCTTTCTTTATGCCTTGCTTGGCTTTATCTACCCAAAGACATGCGTGTATAAGTTAAAGCATGGGTGTTGATACTTCATACTGACTGATGTGTATAGATTCAAGGCGGCCCCCTGTGGGAGCGCCGCCGGTAGCCATGGACCTAATGACTGTTAGTGTAAAAGCCTCCTCATACGTTCCCTGCTTCCTGTGCTTTTCTCTGTGAAGGTGTCCGACAGCAGCAGCAGCTCGAGTCCCTCCAGTGTGTGTTGTGTCCTGGTGAGAATGTCAGAAACGTTTGTCGTGTCGCTCTCAGACTGACATGGAGGCTGCCGTCGTGGCTTTGTGTGGATGGTGCGTGGTGGGAAACTGGGAGGAAGCAGCTCCGTGTCAGTCGGCTCATAAGTAATAATTTCAGTATGCAATAGCCTCTTGAAACTGTGTGAGCCCTAGTTCCAGTTGTTTTGCGACTGCACCCCCGTATGTGTCTGTTTTGAACCTCTGTACTGTAGAAATAGCAGCGCTGGGTGCATGTCTGTAGAGTGTTTGGCTAGCATAGAGTACATATAGAACAGACGTGGTTTGCGATGAATAAGCAATGCTCTCTAACAGCAGGTTTACACGATCTTTGACTTGACAGATATTGTGTGTATAATAATCAAAAGTTAATTAATTTCTAAATTACTAACTTTCATTATTTTTATAATCATTTTTGTTATGTTTGTTGGGTTTCTGGGTAGAAATCACTTAGAACATATGATGTAGAATAAATATCCAGAGCTACAGTATGAAGCCAGTTGTATAAAAAATAAAAATAAAAACGTGTGCTTTTGTCACCATGTACCATCATCGACTCCAGTAGGACTCAGTTATGCCGTGTGTAGGCTTTAAGCTACTCTGTGGTGTTACGTACATCCGTAGTATGTACTCGTGAAAGTGCCTTTGAAAATATTTTAGAGGAACTTCAAACATTTCTGTCCCGTCGCGTTTCATATTAGATGCCGTGTTTTATGAGGAAATGCAGTGCAGGAAGAAGACGTGTGTTAGAAACGCTGCCATTTTCCAAACAGTGATATGGCAGAGTGAATAATGAACCAACAGCTTACTCATTGTGACATTGCACTTTGATGTATATACCTGTATATACGGCATGTAACAGCATAACGTTTAGAGTTCTTTCCTTCAAGGATTTCTTTCTAATAAAGGAGATAGTTTGTGGAGTCTGAGGTGGATTCTTTTCCCTCTTGTTTCATAGTGAATAACCTGCAGTTTCTTTACAGGCTTTGCACACTTTAAAGCTTCACTACATGTACAAGCATCAGACACACTCGTCTGGGTTCTCACAGGCACTGGATTTAATACACTTGATTTAAATACTTCAGAAAACTTTCAATACTTAACAGAATGCAGCAAGATGGAGCTTCGTCTTTACATTTACACAATAACGCCTGAATATTTCATTCTACATAATTGGAAATGATAAAGAACACATTCAGTGTGATGGGCTGCAGGGTGGTGCTGTTGGT